AATGCAGCAGGTCATGGGCATCATGAGTAAAATGCTTAACAAGTAGACATTAAATTCTTATTTGTTGATGTTTACATGTTTAAGATTTACATTTTCACAAAATGTTGTACTCAAAGTATTATTTGCCACTCCTTTGTTTAGATCTGCCTGTCGTAACATTCCCACAAAAACTGTTCAATCAGGACTTATGCAAGATTTTATGCAAACTTAGGCATTAACAGGTGTTTTTGTTACAGTATTTTAGCTAAAGTAATCGATTAGTGGTGGTGGGTCAATACCGAAGTGGTCAGCAGTTGTATTGCGGTGAAGACATGTTAAAGCATTCTGCAAAAGTGCACAAATAATGTATATTTTTCCAACATGGCTAAGGCCAATTTTGAGATTTTTTGTAGTCGAGAAACTTGAAATAATTCATAAGGTCTCCAAACAACCATTCCACACTTGTACGTACAGAACTCATAGATGCATTAAACTCTTCCATTTGTCTTGTTAACACCCCATATCTGAAGGGGCACTACTGATGGGTACGTAGAGGATATGCCAGATCCCCGTAGATACACATCTCCTGTCCAGCAGGGGAAAAGGCAAACTGTGCCAGGTAAACATAGAGGCCAGATGTGTCCAGCATTCTTGCATCATGCATTCATCCCTCCGCACAAGAGAGAAAAAAATAATTTCTGAGACACAATCAGTTACACATTGGTTGGCTGACAAACTGTTACCTATGTAGACCATTGATTAGCTTAGTAAATGAGTAGGCCAAAAACAACATAGGATTGGCTGGCTATTATTCTTGCAGCCCAGGTACTTATGGCCTATAAGTCAGAATTTAGAATTTATTGGTCTGTGGTGACAGGAAAACCAGTTCCTCTAATAACGATTAGGAGTGGAAGCTACTGAAAATACCTCTGATTTGAGAGACCTTGAGGAAGTCATCAAGAAACGTCAGCTTAACATTGTGAGAAAAGAAATCAATCTAACTTTTAAGTTCACATAAGTGATAAAAATGTCTATCCAAGTGAAAACAGCTACGGCACTATCCCACTATAAAAGATGAATGAATATACTGTTACCTACTGGTCCAAACAGATTGCCAGTCAGTTCATTTGGTAGGGCCAAGGATTGAAATTTAAGAGCGTGAACACGCTAGTGGCCATTATAAACAGCTCTCTGATTGACTCCTGGTTTTGATAGGGGACGAACCGTTCCATCAACAAAGCCGAAACAGTTGTCCAAGGCGGCACCTTTGTCATGAATTGCTACAGAGTAAGTTTGCAGTAGATTAGGAGGCATAATGAAATGATTCCATTCGGTAATCCTGTGGCCATGAGCATTGTACATCCATTCAGTAACTTCATTGCTAATCATGCTGAGCTCGGGTACTGATCGACCAAAAGTAGAAATCATATCAGACAACCTACACGGATAGCCAAAACGCTTTAGTATAACACAAAGTCTTTCTGTTGAATCACAAACGGTACCATTCGGGCATGTGAAGGTATCAGGCATCTGTAAAACATTCACCAACGATGGGATGTCACTCTTTTCAAATCTGAAGTCTGCCTTACACTCTGCGGGGTCTTTGTTTTCGAGGGAAAATTTTTCATAATCCAGTGGCGAAACGGAAGGTTTTGGGGAGTGAATTCTTCATACAGCATGGCAAATTCTTCATCATCTATTAGCTTTTCTTCCAGAGAAAGGAGCCAAGCTTCCTGTAAAGTCTTATATGAGTTTTGAGTCATTCTTGTAGGGAAAGGTGAAAAGTGTTTTCACTGTTTTCCAGACCATAACTACTAGTCTAAATGATCGCGTTGTTGATCTTAACTACATATTTCCCGCGCTTAGAACGCAGTGCTCGCTTCAGCCCCACTCTCGGTCCTCACGTTTTCCAGACCATCACGTTCAAGGTTCTTAAAGTCCTTAGTGATTTAGCAGTCGTTGCAATGAGAATCATCACCCCGGCTTTCTAAAGATCATCACCACCTTTGAATTTTCGGTTTTATAGACCACTCTAAGGACAACGAAATTACCTTCTTTGAGAGTTATGTAACAAGCGCAAACAGAGGATAGTTATAGATACGGCAAGTAAGTTGTTAACTATGAACCCACATGGGCGATTAAACTTTGAAACTAGTCCATTTCAGTTTCGTCTCGAGTCTGCTGATTCATCTATCAAATTTTAAAGCCCACCAGATAGTTTTTCTTTTCTATGACTTGTGTCGCTGTCATTTCGTTTCGTGTTACTAGATTTCAGCACTATTCGTTTTTCTTCATAAGTTCTGAAAATGACGTTCCCGTCCTCTTGCTAAATCACTCTAATGATATTGTAATGCGCAAGTGAAAATTTTAATTGATATTTGTGCAATAGAACTTTAATAAATTATTATTATTCTTTGACAACTCCTATCAGATGAACTTCAAATGTTAATGTTGGTCTTTTAGTCCAAAATTCAATAAATTTACATGCGCCAAAGGATGCTTTTTAAGTACTGAATATACTCTTCATGGGAGATAGCATTTTTTTTCACCAGTTAGGCAGTCATTAGGTATAGAAACTTAAATTATCTCAAATCACCTGAAAGTAAAATTTTCCAAGCGTTTTTCCAAGCCCTCAAACTTGTGCAATAATTTGCTGCTAAAAATGACGATTTTAACGGAATTTTGTTATTTGTATTTTTCTCTGAAATAAAAAGATATTTTGCCAAAAAAAAGCATCCATTGATTTTAGTTATAGTCTAGCCTATCTAATATTAAAATATGAAAGAAATCGAATTTTTCACCCTTGCCGCGAAATTTAGGATTTGTCTGATTTTTACAGACAAGCGCTCTTAAGGTTTACATAAATTTTGTTGGGAAGCATATCTGGTGTTGTATCCATGAACACTACTTGCATATTGAAAATGATTTTGGAAGGGATCCACTTACGCAGGCCTTAGTGCCATAGATGCAAAAACTTTTCATCAAATTTGTTTATCAATAGTACAACCATACCCATCTCTTAAATCTCCAAAGGATATATACATGACTGATGATGTGTGGCACACAGTATCTAATTCTCTTTGTTCACTTTTACAAAGCTATTTTTCACTTAGTTACTTTAATTTACTAACTTTCATAGATGGTGCCTAGATTGCATATGAAGCCAATTTTTCTTTCCTTTTTCTGGCCGGTAGTTGTATTTGAGGCTTGAAATTATTGGTCTCAGTTCCTGGTGACTCAGTGACCATTTTTGTTTTTCATGATGTGTAATATTTTACATATTACAAATTTAAAATACAAATTACTTAAAACACTGAGAAATAGCACAAATGAAGAAGCTGGAAGCTAAATAGCTACTAAGTTTTCAAGTCGGCTTCCAGTTTGCTTAAGTTGCTTAAATAACACAAATGAGGGAGAATAGAACTACACTTTAAGAAAATAGTAATAATGATAACAATGATGGTAATAGTAATGACGATAATGATAAGGTAGATATTAAGGCAAATGTCTTGAGTGTTGCACAAAGAAATTGAAGATTTTAAGTTATAATAAGTCTAGTAAGATTTTGTCTTAAAGATTAGTTCCTGAATAGACAACTGTTTGTTTGCCAGAGATATTGCACACTTAGGATTTATGTAAATTTTGTTGGGATGCATATTGGTCCTGTATCCATGAATACTACTTGCATATTGAAAACTGGAAGGGATCCACCTAAGCAGATCTTTGTGCTATAGATGCAAAACCTTTAAATTATTGTGTTAATACACATTTACCGTTCGAATGTCTAGAATGTTAAGCAGATGGAAGGCGCTATTTCTTTGGTTATGCAATGTACCAATAACAGTGGGGCAAAACTACCCTATGTTTGTTCTAAAGTGAGGAATCAATATTAGGGACCTCAAGCAAGGACAACGAGGAAGACGACGACGACGAATCGGAAGTAATTTTCCATTATCCAAGGGTAGTGCGCATGTCACGACGCCACTCCACTGTCCACCACTCGTTGTCCACTGGAAGTTCACAACGTGAAATCGTGTATTTCTACGTCGACTAGTTAACGTGAATATTCATTGGGCTATTTTTTCTCCGTTTGAAAGTTTTCGTCCCCAGAAAACCGAAACGATTTAGGAATATGCTATCTAAATTAGATAGAAATATTTTTTTTATCATATTTTTCGCCGTAACGTTTTGTAAATCGCTTTATTTTTGTTTCTTTTTGTAGGCACTTCTTTAAGAATGGCGGCTGAAACTGGGTAGGTTTCAAGAGTTGTAATAAATTTGTTAAGGCGACGATTACCGTGAAGCTTAGAGTATTTAGTGAACTGAAAATTTTCCAGCTATATCTGTTCGTGAAAAAAACTTGCCTTATGACTCTCCATTAATGCCTGAATCCCCAGTTTGCAAATGAAAACATAGCTGTTTTGAATGCACTCTTACGCGGGAAATTGCCGAGCGGACAGGCGATAAGTGAAAGACTGCTTAAAGTAAGGTGGACTTTCAAGTCCTCATACAATTTGTTAGGAAGGTCAAGTTAATCTGTATCACAAAAAGAGAGGGCAGCTGTGGCTATCATGGTCATAATTAGTCCGCGAAATCGTTTCATATTCTTCAAAATTCCATACATTACGAGAAGCAGTCGAAATGTAAACTAATATTTCTGTAGTTTGTACAATAAGGACATCGCAAGTGTCCCAGCTTCTCATACCTCAGAATTCGCAACATTTGTGCGCAATTTTAAAATTTGAAGTAGATGTATGAATTAAAGAATGGGCGTTTGAACAAGTAAGCACTATTAAATGCAAAATTATTTGTGGGTTCAGGGCCATGCTTCCTCAAGAAAGTTTGAAATTTATGTCCTCGAAATTCAACTTCCAATTTTTCAGCTTCTTTAAAACGGGATTACTGTTGTACTAACTATCTAATCCTTGTGACCAATATACAAACAAAAACAAAAATTGGACTGTAGTTTAAAAGGTTGTTGTTGTTCAATTTTGATCACTGTTTCCCTTCCCACCAATTACTCTATGGAATGGTTAGAAAGTCATGACCTTGCCCTTTATGGAGAAGTGCTAGTGTTTGAGCCATTCAAATATCCTAAACGCAGCAAGGAGCGAAGCGAAATTTGGGGGCGAATAGCTGTTAATCTGAACAGTCCGAGAAGTCAAAAATTTACAGTGTCGAAAAGATCTGTAAGAGATAGATTAACCCTGCTGCAAACTAAATATAAGGAGAAAATAAGAGAAGAAGAAAGGGCATCAGGTAAAGACTGTCAAAAGGAAAAGGAAAGGGCTGCTGACCTGGAGAGAAATGACAAGACTAGTGCTGTTAACAAGAAAAATAAGAGTGAGAAGACAAGTGCAGAAGAGGTTAGGCTGCAAGCCATGGAATGTCTTAGTAAGACACAGAAAAGAAATGCAGATTTAGGAGAAGAAAAGTCTAGTAAATACAGGAAGAGAAGTTCAGATGCTGTTGAATACCTGAAGGAAAAGTTTCAAGAAGAGAAGGAGCTAAGGAAGGAGGAAATTGAGTTGAAGAGGAAAGAGCAGCAAATGATACTGGATCAGCGAGTCAAACACACAAACAGCAGTTGGAAATGATGAACTTGATTCAGAAACAAAATGAGGCTCTGATGGACTTGCTTGCAAAGGCTACATTTCAAAGTGACTATAAATTTAAGTTAGGAAACTCGATTGTTCAATTTGTTGTAAAAAACTGAAAACTGAATTTATTGGTATGTCAAATGTGATTGGCAGTGTAGGGTAGTCCTGAAAAGGGCTGTTGCTGGGTAACATTGAATGGCATTTTGGCAACTGAAGAACCAGATACTTCAGCTTCAAGATGCCTGTGTGTTTTTAAATGTTAGTCATTTTCAACAACAATAGTCCTTTCCAGGATCATTCTAACCTACTTGACTGCACTAAACATACAAACGAGACTGTTGGGTTCAATCCATTTAGTAAGTTAGTAAGTTCAATATAAATTTGAGGAATTGTATGTTGTTACATTCAAGAGACAGTGACAATTAAGGCAAACAATATTATATTTTGAAATTGCAACTGTAAAACTGCTCACGGTGCATTTACTTGTTTTTCGTTGAGCTTCGTTTGACTTCATGTTAAAATCTACTTTTATTAGCCATTTGCATCATTTCTGCTGATTATAGCATTGGTTACTTATTCAGGGATGATTGTTTTTGGAGGGCAGGTTTGTTTTGGTGGGGAGATGACAAGGTACTCAGAGAGGAATGGTAGATTACACTTTTTTGTGAAAATAAACTATAAGTTTCCAATTACATTTGATTTTAATTACACGGACTATGTTTTGTACTGGAACTTTTAGCCACTTTCCTTCTTTACCTTTGCAGTTATAGATAAGAATCAAGTCTTGCTGAAAAATACCTTGACCCTTATATGCAAATTAAATATAGCATGAAGAACAGTTGTGAACACATGCTGTCCATTCAAGCATATCAGCATGTGCAAAATTTAGAATCTTTGAACAAAGTATATGGCTTCCCATTGTTCCTCACAAAACAAGTATTTAATGATATCTAATTACCATCTATGTAGTAAGATAATAAGTGAAATTGCTCTTATCAAGCAAAGTATTCCTGTAGTGATGGAGGGTCTAACTGAAAGAAGCAAGATGTCTGATTGCCATAGAGGCATGTGAGGGCATTTCGAAGGAGGGCAGTGACAACATAAATTTTGCCTACACTACTAAGGCCAATTTTTAAGTTGTTTTTGAAGTCCAAGAACTTGAAGTAGTTAGTGATGTCATTGAATAGCCGCTCTACTGATTCTCTAACAGTGCTCATTGACTGGTTGAATTCCATCATTGGAGGAGTTAAGACTCCATTCCTGAAGGGAGCTATAAGGTGCACCCTTAAAGGGTAAGCAAGATCACCATAAATGCAATAAGGATTCCCCAAAGGTGAGTTTGCAACCGTCTGAAGGTCACTGAGAAGTCTTGAATCTGCAAGCATACGTGCATCATGCCTCCTTCCTTCTAAAAAAGGAACAAATATAATCTTTTTATATAAAAATGCTAAAGGTTTGCTTTTCTATTATGAATATCTTTGAAATTAGAGAAAACTCAAATCAAATGAAGTTCTAACCTACTGGGCCATATAGATGCCCTACGAGACCACTGGGAAGAGCAACACACTGAAACTTTAGGGCATGGACTCTCTTGTGACCATTATATACCGCCCGCTGATGTTCCCCTGGCCTGCATATTGGACGAACTGTTCCGTCAACAAATCCAAAACAATTATTCAAGGCAGTTCCCTGGGCAGCAATAGCGTCGCTATGTAGTTGAAGGGCTTGCGGCGAAAGAATTTCGCGATTCCACTGCGTGATTCTGTGGCTGTGTACATCATACGCATAATCAAGTACTTGATTGCTGATTATACTAAGTACAGGTACTGGCCTCCCAAATCGAGGAGGCATATCGCTATATCTGCATGGATAAGCCAACCTTCGCAGTAGGATGCAAAGGGCTTGCATTCCACTCGCAACGGATCTTTAGTAGCACGCGTAAAGCTATCTGGAATTTGAAGGACCTCTACGAGTAGTGGAAGGTCACGTTTTATGAATCAAAATTCTGCCACACACTCTGTATCGTTCATGTCTTCGAGTGAAAACCTGCCACAATTCTCGTGAAGAAAATATGGATTTTTGGACTGTATTCTTCGTATAACAGCAACAGTTCTTCGTCATTTAAATATCCATGGAAGTGGCTAAGCAGAAAAAGCTCCTGAAGTTCGTAAAAAGAAACCATAAAGGTAAAACTGGAGCTCGGAAACAATTTTTTTCATTTGTTTATTACGTTGACGTTCACTTCGAGAGCAGCTAAAGTCCTTTTCGTCGACCGTGCTTAAGGTCCCTAATTGCTAAGAAGATACACATGTAAAATGCATCTTCTCCTCTTCTTTGTTAACCAGTGTTTAGTTGGTAGTGCAGCTGTCACTTGGGATTGAAATTGACAGAGTATTCTAGGGTTAATCACAATTATTCGCTTGAGGGACATGGTGAGTGAGCATGGCACAACTCTTGCATCCCCAGCTTCTGAATAAGTCACGTAAAATACCATCTTTCTTTTGCTGTATTGTGAATCTCTCAATACCTGGGGACTTCAGGTTCCTTAGAACTACTTGGAAGTCTTTACTGAAAGTCCCACTACGCGAAGTTTTATTTTACCTCAGGGATGCAAAACAAAGCCTGGTTTGCTAAGCATGGTACCCCCGTATGCCGACCATTACGTGTCACGAAATCCCAATTCGCAACGTATCAACACGGTGGGGCCAGACCACCCCTTCTATGTTGCATGACAAGAGTGGGTAGTCTTCATTTTTCCAAATAGCGCTAAAAACGTCTGCACAGGCTTCCAAGTTCCACCCTATTGGAATTTAGTCCCAAAGCAGCCGACTCTCAATTGATATGGTAGGGAACTTTTATGAGCTATGCAGATTTGAGTTATTTCAAGGAAGTTGAAAATATTAGCTTTTTGTTGATGAAGGATTAAGGCAACTTGCATAGTTGGAAAAATAGCATGTTAGGAGACAAAAAAGCCAAGTAATGGTGGCAAGGGCTTTATGTAATCATCTTCTATGAACTTTTTTCGGAGTGTAATGAACTTCAATAAAAATCTGAAATGATATGATGTCAGTTCAAAGTCTCCTTTCATTAAATATGTATTTATTTGTCGCTTTTGTCTTCTCTCGACAAAAATAAAACATGGCGTTTTCAGTCCACCATCAACAAAACGAAGATTTTCGATTGGAACTTACTAATGCATCAAGAAGGAAAGAGTAACACTCGAGGCAGCCAAGCATACAGGATTTGTGAATTAAATGATGTATCTTGATTTCAATTAGATTCTAATCTGAACTTAATTTTAGATTAAGTAGATTGTGTACTCTTTACTTTCTTTCATTTTCTGTTATTTTAATTTAGAGTGCCATTAATAAACTCAAATAAATCTCAAGCAAATGCATTGACACCAAAATAAATTTAGTTATTATACTTTGGCCAGTAACTCCATGTGGAATAAAATAATGATAATTATTATTATTATCATCATTATTATAATTATTATCATTATCATTAATCATTGTAGTCTGTAGTCTGCAGTCTCCATGAATATTCAGACCAGTTGTTCTTGGGTCAAATGTTTGTAATTAACAAATATATTTTTATTAAGTAGATCACTGAACTTGAAGCTATTATTGCCAAGGACAACACGAGTCCAGTCCAAACCAATAGCCTCACACACCACGTGTTAGCAGTAAAATACAGGAAATTCCAGTGAAAGGCTTGGGAATCTTACAAGGTTTCAGCTATTACGAAGGAAAAATAGTCTGGGAGCAAATGTCCTAAAATAAGGTCCCGTGTGAAGTTCATGCTGAAAGCAAGCACCTATTGTAAAAGTGTTCATTAGGTCCTACTAAACATGAAAAGTTTTGGTGCCAGCTTCGCCACTTGCTCAGACGGCTTTTAAGGGGGGGTTAAATTCTGACCTATGAAATCCAGCGTGAAAACGAGGCTAAAACACATAATTCCTCCTAACTTTGTTGATAACAGACGAAAATACACCAAACTTGCTCACATGATTTAATTTACATTGCTCACGTGACCTTACGCATGAAAGCGAGGCTGAAACACATAATTTACTATAAATTTGCCAAAAAAAATCCCTATCATGCCAAACTTGCTCACCTTAGTAAGTTAGACATCTTGCATCGATTGGTGCCACTTTGTAGTGTCACGTGACCCCATACATGGAAATGAGGCTGGATTGCAAAACACACCAAAGGTGAACACAACATCCAGGACGATAACGTTGACTCATTGTAATGCATATTAATGCTGTATGTATAGCATTTGAATAAAAAAAATAAGAGCTAAAAAGGTGTAACGATAATGGTTATTATATAATATTATATAACTTTATTATGAGCGATCTCTACAATCCTATTTCGCACAAATTCCTGTGGATTCTTAATCTAGGGAGCCTGGGTGATTGTGAGCCTGAACTATTGGTCAGCGGTAATTATTTGACTGTCCGCCATGTTGTACTTACAGTCATCACAGTGCTTGTAGTATGACGGATTCTGGCCGGTCTAATGCTCCTTTAGGTTTTAAGCTATGTAAAGAAAAAAGTACAGCCAATCTTGTTCAAAATCCAACTTCCCATCAAAAGCTTTTAGAAGCCATCGAAGAACGTTCAAAGTACGAGGACATGAACTCGAAAACATTGTGGCTTGTGCTTAAAGATCTACCACTAGAAGAGCTTAAAGAAAAAGCAACATGGCATAGGTCGTGCTACCAAGAAACCACCCACTAAGGAAAGATCAAGAGGGTAAAAGAGAGGTTTCAGAGAGAGGTTAGAGGGCCAAATGAAGCTCGAAGAAAGACAAGTGAATCGCTTCAGGTAGTTGCTAGGTGTAATGGCTTATAACTTTAACTTTTTATTTTATTGTGTTTTTCATCTTGGAATCGCTGAAAAGGTAACGACATCCTTGACATCTCAAAACATTTCATTTCATTTCACTAACCAGGGTCTTCTTACAAGGTCGAAAACCGTCCCTTATGACAGCAATCAATGCTTCTTTTGTGAAGAGAAAGCGGAGTACCAGAACCCTCTGCATTTGCTGTCAACATCATCTGTTGGTAGCTCTCTTGACAGCACTGACGCTCATGCCATTGATATTAAATATCATAAAAGCTGCTGGGCGAAGCATGTGACTGGGGTCCTGCGTAAAACTATCAAAGTTGACAAGGAAAGGTCAAGAAGTGAGACAGCGGCTAAGCTGGAGTTTTTGAACCTTACCCAAGCTGCCCTCGATAGCGGAGAAATACTCAACATGGCACAGTTGGAACAGGCTTTTGATTCCATTTCAAACGAGAGCAATAGTCCAAAGACTCTCATTCTAAGTAAGTAGGGATCACTTTGAATGAGAGCGCACTTTCCTCATTGCCCCAGAACTAGCCCGACTCACAGCAGAAGCCGAGGCAATGGCAGGTCTTGTTCCGGAACGTGCACACCATCAAGAACTAAACTCAGCTGTTTTGACTCACGAAGATAACAGCATAAATAAGTTGACCGAGACAATCAAGACCTTCACCAATCCCTTTTCATCAGACCAGAACACCAACACCGCTCTGTACAACTTGGTCACAAAAGTTGTGATGAATGAGAAAACAAAGAAAGATCTTGTTAATCAGAGTGAAGAAGGGAGGAAGCTATTCAGCTATTTTGTACAAGATAGGATCAAGACAGGAAAGATCAACCTCTGGGCTCCTGTAAAGAAGCGCAATCTTCTTACCTTGAAAACGAGTGCTAAGGTCATCAAAGTCAAAGCTAAAGACACGATCATCGAGTTAAAGGAAAACAGAAAGTTTGCTCGTTTGGCGATGGTGTGCAAGAGCCGCCCAGAAATTGACATCCAAGAGGCTGTTGGCTTACATGAGTTCACTGTTGTCCCAAGATCTTTGTTTGCACGAGATGGTACCATGTTGCATTGTTCTTGCAAGAGTGCCCTTATGCATATCCTAGAGAAGGCAGGTGGCCCTAGTACTAATACACAAGTAATCACCGCAGGATTCAAAGTCGCAGTTGTTGATGGAATGGCCGAAGTCCAATCACTTGACAAGCCAGAGTGGATCAAGAACTGTAGAGACTTGGCTGAACATTTCACGAATCACTTGCTTGTAAAGTATAATGATTTAGAAGAGCTCCAAATAATCTTCGACAGATATGATGTACCATCCTCACTAAAATCAGCAACACGAGTTAAACGACAAGGTGGCCATGCTCCCATTTATCATCGCATCACTGATTCTACCCACATCGCCAAGGTGCCGATGAAGAAGCTTCTTGCTCATTCAAAGACCAAGGGCAAACTTACTATGTTTCTCGCAAAGAATGTAATGGATAATGCTAATGGTTACAAGTCGTTGTGGCATGGGGAACGGAATGTGAGGCAACGCACAGAGACGTCAGGCATTTACGAAGTACACAAGAAGAAGCCGACACGAAGATTATTTTACATGCTCTGGATGCCTCTGATCAAGGTGCTAGCCAACTATCTATATGTTCTCCTGACACTGATGTTCTTGTTTTGGCTCTCCAACAGTATCCAGATTTGTGCTCCAACTCTTGTTTTTTTACTGGGACCGGCAGTAGTCATAGAGTTATCAACTTGAGGTCAATAGCAGACGCCCTTAAGCCCACTAAGACGGCTGCGCTGCCAGCATTTCATGCGTTGACCGGAGCAGATGTTAGTGGGAGTTTCTCTGGAAAGGGAAAAGCCATTTGTTGGGATGAATCTGATAACGCCAGCACACCTATCTTGCAAGCTCTTGCTAACCTCGGTTGTGGCGAACAGCCAGATGACAGCACAAGAAGTGGAGTGGAACAGCTGGTTTGTCGGATGTACCAACTGAAGACAGACATCAAAACTGTCAAAGCCCTCAGATGGTCCCTCTTTAAGAAAAATCAAGCTGAGTCTAAAAGGTTGCCACCCACACAAGCTGCTCTCCATCAAGCCATACTGAGAGCACACTACCAGCTTCTTGTTTGGAACAACAATCATGTAGCAAACCCAGTGTTGCCCTCACCAGAAGGCTATGGATGGCAAGATGAAGATGGAAAGTGGGTACCAGTCATGACAAATCTTCCACCAGCTCCAGAGGCAATTATACAGCTTGTCTGATGCAACAACCGTTGTCAGTGTCAAAAAGCCGGACTTGTCTGTACTGATCTCTGTCTGTGCTCTGAAGATTGCCAGAACGAGTATGCTGAGAGTGATGATGAGTATGATGAAGACGAAGTCGAACAGGAAATTCCATAGGAATGGACAACAGAACAATGTGTACAGATATTCAGTAAGACTTTCATGACTGTATATATAAAATAGCAGTAGTCGCTATTTTCATTTTCTGCCCTTGTTCCAATATACATGTGAAAATGAATACATGAAACCAGTATCATAAGTTGGCAAAATTATTGATTATGTGTAGAAGATAGATTCTCAAATGGAGCCTCCGCAGTCCCTGTGCTATGGGCCATAGGACAATGATTAGTTGAAGTTTTTATATCTGAACTCGGATAACCAGATATGTATCTGCCTAGTAGTTGTTAATACATTTGGCAAGACAAATGCCATCCTACACGATGCTACCAGATATATCCAGCCTCGTTTCCATGTATGGGGTCACGTGACACTACAAAGTGGCACCAATCGATGCAAGATGTCTAACTGACTAAGGTGAGCAAGTTTGGCATGATAAGGATTTTTTTTGACAAATTTATGGAAAATTATGTGTTTCAGCCTCGCTTTCATGCGTAAGGTCACGTAACCTATGTAAATTAGCATAAATCAACAGGGAGGATCATGTCCAATCATGTGAGCAAGTTTGGTGTATTTTCGTCCATTATGAGTTGGGCTAATGGTGTCCAACATAGCGGATGGTTATGCTCTAGCGACTTCTGCTCTCCTGGCGATATTCTGTGCCTCTCTGTGCAATTTGCCCCCTCACAATGGCTTCCTCGATCATTATTACCATGGTGCACAATCTGGAGAGATTGTTTTTCGGCCACGAGTATTTTTCAGAACGAATGTCGATGTTGGAGTGCTCGTTGTCGTTCCACGTGGTGGCTTTCGAAAACTTGGGAGGCTCCAGCGTTCAAAGTTTCTCTCGAGGCGTATTAAATACTACTCAAATGCTTCCTGTGCTTTAAATCCAGCTGTTTATATGATTCTATGCAGCGGCGATGTAGAAACTAATCCTGGTTACGTGCCTGAATGTTCGACTTGACCTCAAAGACAGGGTCACACTTCGAAGTTGAAGGTATTCTACACAAATGCAAGGAGCATTGTCAACAAAGTTGCCAAACTACAATTGAAACTGGCTAATAGTCAAGCGGATATCGTTGTCCTAACTGAAACACATTTAGACTGTTCAATTTCAAGTGAGGAGGTCATCGGCAGCGATTATACTGTCTACCGGAAAGACCGCGCCGGCAACCGAACTAGACGTGGTGGTGGTGTTTTGATCGCGGCGAAGAAAGGCTTGATCACCTCGATACGAGAACATCATGATCTGCCTTCCGAGTTACTCTTTGTTGATATAATTACGGACGGCGAGAAGAAATTAACGATTGGAACATTTTATAGGCCACCTAATAGTGACTTGAAGCCTTTGGAAGACCTTCGGTCATGTCTTTCTTCGATTACAACCACAGATCTTCTCGTCACTGGCGATTTTAATTTAAGTGAATTTGATTGGTCTACGAGCCATCCTACAAAATCATCTGAGCATCATTACCTTCTGTCTGATATAATTCATGACAATTTCTTGTACCAAATGGTTGATGAGTCTACTCGCGAGAATAACATATTAGACCTAGTACTGACGACAAACAGCGACCTGATAAATAACTTGGAAGTCGGTGAACCATTCTCTGACCATAATTCAATAACATTCATCTTAAACACTCGCCCCTACCAACAACGGATCTCAACGAAAGAAAATTACGCATTTAACAAGGCAGACTGGAACCATCTGAACAGAACCATCTCTGTTCAGTTATTCACCCTGGTACTTTACTTTAGAACAACAGGACATTAATGCTAACTGGGAAGTATGGAAAGATCTTTGTTTCGCAGCGGTTAACGTCACAAAAGAAAAAACATCGCTCCATGGATTACGAAGGACTTAATTGAATTGAGCAGGAAAAAGAAACATCTTTACAAAAAAGCTAAAAAATCCAACAGCGAGGATCACTGGGTTGCTTATCGTACTTTGAACAACACTTTGAAAATGAAATGTAACTCGACCAAATGGAGCAATCTTAAAGCACTCGCTGATAAATTACAAGTAGAGAATAATTCCAAGCCCTTTTGGAACTACATGGGATCAATAAGAAAAGGGGTACTAACGACCTAGAGTTCCTAAAAGAAGGAAGTGCCGAAATCGCAGGTGATCAAGAGATTGCACAACATATCAATTCACACATGAACAAAGGACTCTTCCGGAATTTGATTATGTTCTCGATGAAAAGTTAGGCAATGTATTATGTACACCTAGCGAAGTGGAAAAACATCTGAAAAACCTAAACAGACACAAGTCTCCAGGTCCTGATAAATTATTGCCTCGTATCCTAAAGGAATGCGCACTGGAACTACCTACGTCACTTTGTAATCTATTCAACAAGTCGTTTCAATCTGGCTCGCTACTGTGCTGTATTCGATTTACGTTTACATTAATTCAGCCTCGCTTCCGTTCATGATTCGATGTATGATCACTTCCGGTAATGGCGACGACACATGTTAGAAGTTATTAAAAGTTCTGTGTTGAAATCAAAGAATATATCTCCGTTTCTCGTGCCATCCGAACACCACATGGTGTCAGAAGTGAACAAGAAGATATAAACTGTGTCCAGAACGGATATTTAGCGATCAGTGATCAGGAATTACGCGGAAATATGGCTACGAATCTTCCACCACCGAAAGCTCTTCGTCTATCGGGAAATGCAAGTGAGAATTTCAAGTTGTTCAAGCAGCAGTACGAATTATATGTGAACGCCATTGGATTATCTACTGCCAGTAAGGAAAGGAGAAGTGCTATACTGCTAAATCTCGCAGGTGAGGAGGCGCTGAAAATCTACAATGGCTTCACATGGGCTCCAGCGGTAGGTGACCCCGAAGGGGAGGAACATGTACCAGCAGAGGACAAACTGGATCCGGAATTAATTCTGGAGAAATTCCAGAGGTTCTGCACGCCGAAAACAAATGTTACTTATGAACGTTACAAGTTTCACAGGTATACGCAATCAGAAGGTGAGAGTTTCGATAATTTCTTATCACAAATTAACACTCTCGTGTCTACGTGTGCCTACGGTGAACTAAAGGACGATTTTGTCAGAGATAAGATCGTATTGGGTATAAATAGTGATAAGGTCAGAGCACGGCTGTTGAGAGATGGTGAACTGACTTTAGAAAAAGCGATAAATGAGTGTAGAGCAGAAGAATGTTCTGGAAGGTGGGCTCAGGATATAAAAGGAGAGACTTCTAAAGTGCAGGCAGTTCAACATAGGCGGAAAGGAGGCCCTCGTGACAAGGGACCACGTAGTAACGGGCAGCAAAGAAGTGCATCAAATTGCTCCCAGGCGTCGAATAGCCGGTCATGCCGGTGGTGTGGAAAGGAGGTGCACCCCAGAGAAAGATGCCCTGCAAAAGACAGTAAATGTAACAAGTGCAAACGCCCAGGACATTGGGGCAAGGTCTGCAGGAGTAGTAAAGGAAAAGGGTCTGTACAAGAGGTAGCAGAAGTGCAGTCTGACTCAGATGAGTACTACTTCTTAGGAAGCATCAGTGATGAAAGTTACTCTATTGAGAGTATCAACAACAGGAAACGTAGGAGTGCATGGTTTACGGAAGTCCAGGTGTCAGGTCAGAGCCTGAAATTTGCTGTTGATACTGGAGCAGATGTGACAGTCATTTCCAAAGCTGTGTATGATACACAGTTTTCACACTTCATTTTGCAGAAGCCTGACAGGCCTCTTGGTGGCCCAGATCAAAGCAACCTTTCAACTCTTGGATTCTTTACTGCAGAACTAAAGAAAGGTGATCAGACAATCACAGAGGATATATATGTGTTCCCCAAAGGCTCTCTATTGCTAGGTAGAGACGCTTGTGCAGATCTAGGTGTCGTTAAGTTCATTGGAAAAGTTACGTCAGATCCTATCCAGTCAGCGGAGTTCGGATCAATGTTCAAAGGCTTAGGAAAGCTAGAAGGAGAATATAAGATTAAGATCGAGCAAAACGCAGAGCCATACAGTGTGATGACTCCCAGGAGGATATCTATTCCACTACTTCCTCTAGCCAAAGCTGAACTTGACAAGCTTATCGAGCTAGATGTTATAGAACGGTGCACAGAACCATCGGAATGGTGTTCTCCTATGGTCGTGGTGCCTAAAGGAAATGGCAAAGTGAGGATCTGTGTGGATCTCACGAAGCTTAACGAATTAGTGAAGAGAGAAAGAATCATGCTCCCCACAGTGGATTATACAATTGCTCTGATGGGAGGTGCTAAGGTTTTCTCTAAACTGGATGCCAATGCAAGCTTCCACCAAATCTGCTTGGATGAAGATTCAAGGAAACTGACCACGTTCATCTCACCATTTGGTCGATTTCGATATAAGCGAATTCCCTTCGGTATCAAATCTGGCCCTGAGAAGTTTCAGAGTGAGATCTACCGAATACTAGGTGGTCAACAAGGTGTGGTATGTCTCATGGATGACATTGTCGTGTTCGGAAAGAACCAGGAGGAACATGACGAGAGACTCGTACAGACATTAACACGGCTGAAAGCAGCAGGTGTCACCTTGAATAAGGATAAGTGCCAATTCAGCAAAAGCCAGATTGACTTTCTAGGTCATCGGATCGGAGTTAATGGTGTGGAAAGCTCTCCAGAGAAGGTCGAGGCTATATTGAAAATGCGTGCTCCAGAGAATGTGAGTGAGGTAAGAGGTCTGATGGGTACAGTGAACCAGCTCATGAAGTTTGTACCCAACCTTGCTACTATGACACAACCTCTACGTGAACTCTTGAGCTCTCACAGTGCATGGTGCTGGGGTCCAGCACAGGAACAGGCTTTTAAAGAGATTAAACAATGCTTGACGAGCAGCCCAGTGTTGCAAATATATGATCCTTCACTAGAGACCAAGGTGTCAGCAGATGCGTCTTCATACGGACTTGGCGGAGTGCTTTTGCAAAAGCACGGTGACAGGTGGGCGCCAGTGGCGTATGCGTCCAAAAGCCTTCTGGATGTAGAGAAAAGGTACGCCCAGATTGAAAAGGAGGCCTTAGCTAGTACCTTCGCATGTGAACGATTCACAGATTACATTCTGGGAAAGGATATTATACTAGAGACTGATCATAAGCCTCTTGTACCACTGCTATCCACGAAGGAGTTGGATCAACTACCCGTACGTATTCAACGAATGAGAATGAGGCTCATGAGATACTCGTTCACACCTGTTCAAAAACTGTTGGAAAACTGTTGTACACTGCCGACACGCTATCCCGTTCTCCAACACCAGCCAAATCAGGTGATTCATTTCATGAGGAAGTGAACTTATATGCTCATCAAGTCATAGCTGGAATGCCTATCAGTGATAGCAAATTAGATGATATTATGATCCATCAACAGGAGGATGAAGCATGCAGGCAAATTATGAACTATGTAGCTGAAGGTTGGCCTGAAAAACATAATGTCAAGGGTTTAGTCAGCCCTTATTTTGCTCATAGAGCAGAGCTGACAGTGGTTAAAGGGCTGTTGATGATGGGACCTCGAGTCGTTATACCATCGTCTATGAAATTGGAAGTCCTGGATAAGATCCACGACGGTCACCAAGGGATTGTCAAGTGCAAGGCATTGGCCAGAAACACAGTGTGGTGGCCAAGCATGATGAAGAATATAGAGGAGTTAATTGAAAACTGTCGCAAGTGTCAGTCTAACAGGAAAAATCCTCCAGAACCTCTAGTTCCTACCATGCTCCCACAACGACCATGGCAATACATAGCCACTGATGTCTATGAACTCAATAAAAGACTGTATTTAGTAATGATTGATTACTACTCCAGATGGATAGAGGTAGCTAGTCTGAGTTCAACCGCCTCAGCAGAGGTCATAGACAGGATGAAACGTGCATTTTCCAGATTCGGAATTCCAGATCAAGTAAAATCTGACAATGCCAGCTACTATACATCAAGGGAATTTAAGATGTTCACTTTAGATTACGGGTTTCGACATGTCACTAGCAGCCCAGGTCATGCTTCAGGCAACGGTGAAGCAGAGAGAGCAGTGCAAACAGCTAAACGTCTCCTAGCTGGCTCTCAAGATCCTTATCTTGCTTTGCTACAGTATAGAGCGACACCATTGGCTAATGGTTATTCCCCAGCTGAGCTAATGATGTCAAGGAGGCTAAAAACCAAAGTGCCGGTGGCCCCGTCTCAGCTGTCCCCAAACCTTGTGCAGAATCATGCCCTACGTCAGTTTGAAGACAATCACAAAACCAAACAGAAGCTGCACTTTGACAGAAGGCATTCAGCGAGGCCTCTTGTTCCCTTAGAGAAGGGAGATGAAGTGATGGTACAAGACAGAGGACAGTCTGGAATAGTAGTGGAGAAGTGCACACCTCGTTCTTATGTGATCCATACGGACACTGGGTCATATAGAAGGAATAGAGTACAGATCAACAAGATACCACCCCCACCCCCAGCTGCAGCTACATCTCCAGCCAAACCCACACCGGTGCCAGTACCTCCATCACCTAAACTTCCTTCACCCCAAACTGCTAACACTGCAGAAGGAACTGGCACATCAAAAGTGTACACCAGATCTGGCCGTCAATCTAAGCCCTCATCTAGATTGAAGGATTATGTGCCATAAGTGAAGTTATACTTTCTGGCCAGATTTTCTCTGGTTTCTCAGACAGAAAGTCATAACTATGAACGCGTATTCTAGTGTGTGAGAGACTTAGTGCAGAGACAAACGACAATAGCTACCCAGGATGTGTTTCTTAACAAAATGACGATTACTTGAGGACATTTGATTGACGTTGTTTTGATTTTGAATTTCACGCTAGATAAGAAACAAGTATGTCTAAGTAGTTTCTCTTTTATTACCTTAAAGGGGGAGATGTGCTGTATTCGATTTACGTTTACATTAATTCAGCCTCGCTTCCGTTCATGATTCGATGTATGATCACTTCCGGTAATGGCGACGACACATGTTAGAAGTTATTAAAAGTTCTGTGTTGAAATCAAAGAATATATCTCCGTTTCTCGTGCCATCCGAACACCACACTACCCAGTGACTGGAAAATTGCACATATTATTCCAGTCCACAAAAAGGGACCAAAACACAAAAAGGAAAACTATCGCCAAATCTCGCTAACATCCATCATTAGCAAAATAGCGGAGAAGATTGTAACATCAAGAGTTGTCTCATTCTGGACTGAACATCAACTACTAAACCCAAGCCAATTTGGCTACTTAGAAGGCAGTTCGACAGTGTCGCAACTTTTAAGCTGTTATAACGACTGGTGCTTAACAAGAAATTCGTCAAAAGCGTCTGATGTAATATTTCTGGACCTGTCAAAAGCGTTTGACAGTGTCCCTCGTGAGCGCCTACTTTTAAAACTCAACAGGTATGGGATAGATGGCCAACTAGACCTGTGGTTTAGGAACCTCTTAACCAATGGAAAACAAAGAGTGCTGATACGTGGATCGTACTCGGATTGGTCACCTGTTACATCTGGTGTCCCTCAGGGCTCAATACTGGGGCCAGTTATGTTCCTTATTTACGTGAACGACATACCTGACATAATCACGTCTACCGCCAAATTATTTGCTGACGACACCAAAATCTATCGACAGATAAACAACGTAGAAGATGAAGATTTAGATATATGAAAATTCACATATTTGCACTGCGGTGGAAAGATGAAATTAGAAGATCCTCGCAGCTAAGAACACTACTGAAACTGGTAGTTGTAAGTAGGACCTGAAAAAAATTTTCAGGCCCGTACGGGATTTGAACCCATGACCTCTGCGATACCGGTGCAGCGCTCTACCAATTGAGCTAACAAGCCAACTGGGAGCTGGTCAATGAATTGGGTACCCAATTCATTGACCAGCTCCCAGTTGGCTGGTCAATGAATTGGTTGTACCCAATTCATTGACCAGCTCCCAGTTGGCTTGTTAGCTCAATTGGTAGAGCGCTGCACCGGTATCGCAGAGGTCATGGGTTCAAATCCCGTACGGGCCTGAAATTTTTTTCAGGTCCTACTTATAACTACTAGTTTCAGTAGTGTTCTTAGCTGCGAGGATCTTCTAATTTCAACGTAGAAGATTCTATTGCTTTGCAGATAGATCTGACCACCCTCGACCTATGGGCGGATCGTTGGCAGATGAAATTTAATCCTACCAAATGTGAAGTCATGAGAATTTCACATAACAAAAACGAAAGGTCCACACGGTACAATATATCGTGTACCGAGTTAAGAAATGTATCTAATTATAAAGATCTTGGAGTTATTATGGCGAGTGATCCGAAATGGTCAAAACATGTTGAACAAATAGTTCACAAAGCAAATAGGGTTCTTGGCCTACTTAAGCGCACAGTAGGCGGCAAAAATAAAGATATTTTCTCAAATTTGTACAAAACCTTGGTTCGTCCAATCTTGGAGTAAGCTTGCCCGGTGTGGTCACCATACCTAGCTAAAGACATCCATGAAATTGAGAAGATACAAAGAAGACCGAGAGAATCGCTTTAAACCAAAGAAGACAAGAGATGGCCTACGAGGAGAGGTGTGAAATTCTTAAATGGAACTCTTTAGAGCAAAGGAGAGATTTTTCTTTCCCTGGTGGAATGTTATAAAATCGTATTCAATCTGAATGGATTAAATATCAGCGATTATTTTGAACTGTGCAGGAACACTAAGTCGAGATCTAACCATCCTTATAAGTTACAAACGAAACTCGCAAAATTGATTTGTTATAAAAATTCTTTCCTTGTCAGAATTATCAAACATTGGAACGATCTTCCTATTAATGTATTTAATTTTCGTGACTGCCCTAACGTTAGTAAGTTTCAATTAAGATTGAAGAATCATATGAATGTTTATTGAATGGCCATTTTATATTTATTTATGATACTTATCTGTTTTTCACTTCACTTTTTTATATTTTTAGTACTTGTTTTGGTATAGTGACCTTAAATAATTTTATATTTTTTTCTTTAGGAGACCCTTGATATAGGGCTAACCTCTGGGTTTCCTTTTTCTTAATAACTACGTTTTTGTATGTTATTCTGAAACAAAGTATTGTATGTATAAAGTTATGAGGAATTATGTGTTTTAGCCTCGTTTCCATGCTGGATTTCATGGGTCAGAATTTAACCCCCCTTAAAAGCCGTCTGAGCAAGTTGCAAAGCTGGCACCAAAACTTTTCATGTTTAGTAGGTCCTAATGAACACTTTTACACTAGGTGCTTGCTTTCAGCACGAACTTCACACGGGACCACATTTACTCCCAGACTAAAAAAAAAGACTATTGCTGCACTGAAGCCAATTCATTGTGGGGGCAACAAAAAATAAATCTTTGATGACCGATCTGCATAAGATGGTTTATGGACAACCTTAGTGGTACAACATTACATTTCAATATTTAATACAGCCCAAGCAAGTACATATACAAAAAAAAATCTTGAAAAATTTATATATCTGGTCATGATTGTCCTCATATGAGTAAAACCAATGGAACTAAATAAACATACACCTTTGCACCTGTTTGTTCAGTGCTGCAGGATGCTGCTCACATTCTGGTATCCATAATGAAATTTAATGATAAGAACTTGTTCTGTTATATTTCAGTTCCAGCAGCTTTTCATTGGATACCAACACCTCGAACCTCTCAAGGCTACTCTCATTCGAAGGTGCCATACACCTTTTTAAAATATCAGCTCGGTCCACTTCAAACCACCTAGATCCATCCTCCTGAATGAACACTTTGATTTTCTCATATTGGTTATTGAACTATTTGAGTGGTTGTTTCCCTGCATTGTTGACCGAAGCTTCTACACTGTATGCTGTCTTGAGAAGAACCAAACCACTCAAGTGGCATATCCACAGGAAATTCTCCATGCCAGGAGTTTGCTAGTTTAGGCCTCATATGCAGACAACGAAATATTTTTCCATGCATTTTTCTAAGGGACCTCCTGACCATCCCTCTCGAGGGCATTAATCTTTGCACGTCAAAAATCTTCCTCTACAATGGGTGTATTTGTTATCTAACACAGCTACAGCATCTTTGAGCTCACTGAAAAAATTATTGACCTGCCGTATACCAGCCACTCCCAGTGCTTTTCAGTAGATCATGTTTACAGCGTTGAAGGGGTTGTCAAAGGCTTTCAGAAAATTGCAAACAACCAGCCATCTTGAATTTTACCCGCTACGTGTTGCACACTTCTAATGCAACATTGACAGGGTGGTCTGGCCCCACTGTGTCAATCCCACAGTCAAGCCGCTTTTCTGGAGATAAAATGTTTACCACAGACCAGGCTGTGATCC